TTTAGCCTGCATTTCTACTTAAAACTGCACAGTAATGTGCTGCATTCTGTATTTGTTTAAGGATTCAACTATTATTACTATTGATTCATTATTCATTACCCTTCTGTCATATACTGTAGCATACAGAGGTTTTTATCTTCTATATACTGTATTATAATGTACATATTTCAGACTCTTAATAAATATTTCTGTTTTCGTATTATATTGTTGTTACGTATTGTAATATAATACTAATTAACATTATTTTTATTATTTATTACTTATTATTATCTTATTATATTATTCTATTCTTTAATATCTTGTGAGCACCTTGAGCAGCTGTAATGAAACAAATTCCTCCCAGGGATCAATAAAGTATTTCTGTGCCATGAAAGGTATTTATTACTTATTTTAAGGAAAATACCTTAAACATTAAAGCCTTTTTCATGGCATCCGTCGCTCCAGTTTAAAAGTTTTAGATGCCTTGTGTGTTTTAACGCATTTCTCTGCAGCTGGACATATTTGGCATTTTTATCAATCTTGATATCTTGATTTTAACAATTATCTGTGAGGCTAAAGCATAACTTGGTTTCACAACATGCCTTTGTGCTGATGGTAAATAGGGAATTGTTTGCAATTTTTGGAGGTTGTGTGTCTTGTTTATTTCCAACAAGCAGTTTTTTTCCAGCATTTTTTTAGACCTCACTTAATTCACCTTTTGAGAATGTTGCCCTCTCTTCTATCAACATGGCCACACTGAGACATATGAAGAATCTTATGAGTGGTTTGCAAGAATAACATCATGTTGTACTTACTTTGTTATTTCACGTCACTTTGTATTTTGTTCATCTCCTGGTCATAATCCACCAGGCATTTGCCCTGTAGGTGGACAGAGGAGGGGAGGAGAAGACCTGGACTAGGTTTTGGATCAGACCTCCTGAAGTCGCCTCCACCATCATCTTAGTCACTGTCACCCTCAGCTGAGCCATGTCTTCGTCAGGGTGCTGCCACCTACCCGGCTCCCTTTGTGACTACTCTGGGAACGCCGAATCTGATGCCTCCAAGGATTCGGAGGAGTCTGATTCTACCGCACAGGCCCAGTACATTGCCAAGGTTACCGCTAAAGATGGCCGCCCACTCTCCACTGTTGTCAAAGCGGTGAGCTTGCAGAGGTAAGAGAGGGAGGAAATCACACAAGGCCCTCACGAATACACTAATTATATTGTACTTTGTTACATCATCACATTGTTGTCTTCTCTACTTTGCTCCACAGTGATGTGGGCATGTGTCGCATTTGTCACGAAGGAGCTGGAGGGGAGACACTGCTCTCACCCTGCGACTGCACTGGTACGCTAGGTAAAGTGCACAAGAGCTGCTTGGAGAAGTGGCTGTCCTCCTCTAACACCAGCTACTGTGAACTCTGTCACACAGAATTCACTATTGAACGACGACCACAACCACTCACACAGGTTAGATGTTTTGACTGTGTGTACAAGAAGAAGCAGAAATGAGCAAGAATACTTTGTCTAAAGCAAGAGAGACTATTTTATCTTTTGGCCTTGGAGTGATATGTGAAGTATTTTTGTCTTTGAGATTATTATTATTTTTAAATGTTTTCACTTAAGAGTGTGTGCCAACAGGCAGCATCTTCTAGACGTAAGATGATTTGCACATATTGATTAAATGGTTGCCTGACCTTGTAATAAGAGCTCTATTCATAGGACTAGTTTTCAGTAACATAAATGCATTTCTATTAGTTATGCAGGAAACTTGCACCTTTTTTATTCTCAAAGTAACACTCGCTAAGATCGTACTGTAGAAAGCACATTTTCAGTTGGACCAATGGCCTCGTCATTTTGCTCTTTCCCAGTGGCTGAAGGACCCAGGCCCTCGCAGTGAGAAGCGCACGCTGCTGTGCGACATGGCCTGCTTCCTTCTCATCACGCCCCTGGCAGCCATCTCCGGCTGGCTGTGTCTCAGGGGCGCCCAGGACCACCTGCAACTGAAGAGCAGACTCGAGGCTGTTGGCCTCATCGCCCTCACCATTGCCCTGTTCACCATCTACATCCTCTGGACACTGGTAACTAACTAATACTTTGTATATGTTCTCCTGTAGTTGAGCAAAACATGTTTGTAAAGCACGTTTAGGTATTTCTGTTAACTTGATGTCACAGAGTGAGTCTTTTTCTCTCTGGCATCTTCACACCCACAAGTTGGTTTTAACATCTTGGTGTCCCACATAGATTTGGAAAACAAATGTGAACTGGCAAAGACACAATACAAAGACTACCAAACCCACAGATTTATGTTCGGCTGTTGATTATTATTGTAGAACTTATGTTGCTGTTTTCTAATATAACCTTCAGTAACACTGGACAAAGTTAAACAGTAGAGAGACGTGAGGGCAACTTGATCATCTCTGGCACAGAGCACTCACTTGTCTGAAAGTTGGCCAGATAGTTCATGCATACACATACATGCATAACTCATTGAGAATACTGAGAATACTAAGAATAAGCTGGATTTGACTTTTAAGTAAGAATAAGCTGCTTTTCCTTAAGTGGATCCTATTCTTTAAAAATAGGATGTATTGTGAATTTGAAACCTTCTTCAGAAACCTAATCCTTTAATCTTCAGCAAAAGAATCATTCAAAATGACAAATATTATCCCTTTAGCTCACAGCATGTTCAGTCAGCATATTGTTCCTGTCCTGCATCCGTACTACTCTGTCTCAAATATCTTGCTGTCAGTTGTATTGATGTCTATCTTCTTCCTCCATTGTCACCCCGTCTTGCCCCCTCCCACTCCTCTTCCATCCAATCTCAGGTGTCATTTCGGTATCACTGTCAGTTGTACTCGGAGTGGAGGAGGACCAATCAGAAAGTACGCCTGCTCATGCCTGACATGAAAGGGGCGCACACCACCCAACGCTCTGTGCCGACCAAGTCGACCAAGAAAATGACTGATGAGACCATCGTATGAGTGCAGAGTGGTGCCAAAAGGAATATTTAAAATAACGCCCACAGCAGCACTCGATAAGAAAACAAAAATTAATCATATTAATGAACTTTTGCACTTCATATGGACCATTCTGAGAGGGGAGAGCTACTTTCTCCTTCTGTTTTCTTTTTTTGAAGCACTTGATGTAAAACTATTACGGTATTGGCCGACCACAAAAAGTGGTTTTGGAAAGAACTCATTCCGGAGTCATAGTTGATGTTGAAACACAGAGTTGTCACCGGACAGCCAGCGCTGGGATGTGAACGACATGAACACATGGACAATGGACTAACCAGCCCAACTGTGTGTCCGTGACACAAACTTATGAAATACTAAGACACAAGCTAATGTAGCAGGATATAACTGATTCAGCATGCTACTACAGTATAATATGAAACATATTCACTACCTATAATTCCCCCATATGCCCCATCACAATGTATTTACCTGTTTTTGAACAATGGGCAGCCAGTAGCCCAGCAGAGGATAATAATCTAAAAACATGATTGACAAAGTTTATCTGTGAATATTCATTCTTGACGAGTTAAAGGGCGGCAGTCACTCATACCAACGGTCCTGTCTATAATCGGCACCCTTTTAAAGTTACCTGGTAACGCTTTGTCATTGCTGTCTGAACTGTGGAAATGAAATCCTTTTCCTGTTTAGACAACAGCTAAGGCATCACATATTTATCACACTTGTAACGGGGTCAGTGAAGATTGTAGCATATGGGAAAACACTTAACTGCAGCCGTTAAACGGCAGTGCAGTAATGTATGAGGAAATAGTATTGAAGCTGTGGAAAAGTGTTAACATTCTAATTGGATGACGTTTCTACTATTGTCATAAAAGTGCATTAGCAGACCGCCCTGCACCACTTGTAAATGCACCATTCATTAATTGAGCTGCCTAGCAATGACCAGTAGTTATGTCCCACATCACAAGAGATGCAGTTTTAAATAGAAGAGATCCAGTGTTCTGAATAGTGAGACTACAAGACTTTTGTCCTTTATAAAAACACAAGAGATGTATCAGAGCAGGCTGGTACTCAGTGTGGGTACAAAAGAGAAATGTGTTCTGAGATGTCAATCAATGTATGCGGCATATGCTAAACAAAGTATTTTGTGTTATTGTAGTCTTCCTGCTGCATCCCCTGGAAAGTTGGGTTATTGTGCAATAAAACACGAGGGACTCCTGGACTAAATCAATGTGAAATGTGACTTATCTGCTGCTCTATGGCATTTCAGCCTCTTATGATCTTCATGTGGTCTTTGGAAATATAATCTAATGATCAGTCGCTATGAGGGTAATGCCCTGAGATTTCATGATCTTGTGTAAATGTTAATGTTTACATTTAATATATTCGAGCGGATTAACATTCATTATTTGTAGGACCGTCGCAGTGTATACTATGAATGACATGACATTTACTCAAGTACTGTACTTAAGTACAATTTCAGGTACTTGTACTTTGGTTGAGTATTATTATTTTTATCTATTTTATACTTCTACTCCACTACATTTCAGAGGAAAAGTCCACTAGTTACTTTTCAGATTAAGATTCTACATAAAAACATCCACGTTTATAAAATATAATACATTGCTGGTTCCCATCATTTTTGGATTGTAGCACCTTACAGAAACAGTAGGGTCTGGTTGGGACCACCGTCTTTGTTACCAGCTCCACCAAAGAATGGTTTCCCGATAGATATTTATACAAATGGGTGCAGCATCATTTTTTTCCTTCTCTCCTACCCCAGTGATCAGCGCACAACTCCCACTAAGCCACCTTCTGACCCTTTGGAGAAGCCTGACCCCTAGGATCTGGAGCCACTCGACCTAAAGAGATAAATATCTATATATAACTATAACTTTATTATACTAACTATTTAAATAGAACTTGCTCCACTTAGACCTGAAACAACAGTAAAATTTGACAAATTGGTCCAGAGTTAAGGTCACCGTGCAGGTACAGTATGTAACTGTATGTATGTGTTGCTAAAAAAGAGGACATGACAACATAATATTGTAAAATTTAATTTCATGGCATTAATATAATGTATGTGAGCAGACAAGCTATCAAAATCAAAACAAAAAAAGAAGATATTTTACACAAAATGCAATAAGCATCAGCAGCGTCACAACCACTTTTGAGATGATGACTGAACGAGGAGAGGAAAGCTCAAAAACAGGACTGCTGGTACGACTGAAACAGGCAGGATTCAAACCTCAGGCCTCCAACATGTGGCAATAACAATCTACCAGGGAGATGTCTAGGCTTACAAGGTCTCAGGCAAAGCTTTTCTGCTACACTATCATGGGTTACTGTGGTAGCTACTTGCACGGTACCATCAGTCCTGTTTTTGCACTGGGATGTAGCAGATTGTACCTGGGTCAAATTACAATTTGAAATCAATTCAAACACTTCATTCTGGGATTGATCATTTGTGGCATAAACAGAATTGACTCCATTCATCTAAAAAGTGCAGATTCAGACAATATTGCACCCCAGGCGGATGGAAGCACACCAACGCTGTGGATTTCAATTAATAATCGACCCAGGTGAGGGGGGGACGGTTGCCATGGGTTACAGGTTCTGACAGCACTGCAGTTTGCTCCCCCTCTGGCCGTCCGTGGTGGGTGGCACACTAATGTCCACCACGTTGTTTCCCGGGGACTCGTCATGGGCAGACCGCTCAGCAATTTGTTTCTGAGAGACGATGCGGTAGATTTCTGTTTTATTAAAGATGGAGAACAAACAGATCAGACATTTCCCCCCTGAAATTCTTTAGTTGTTTTAGGTGGACTAGCAAAGATTCAGGATCACCTTTCTAACCTACATTAGGTACGACACTAAAACAACCTAGTTAATGTGAGGTTGCAGCTATGCAACGCCCTAACACATCACAACAAACATGTTAGAGAAACACCCACAATTATACTGATACCAAGAGGTGAGATATTTTACAAGTTGATATTTCAGTTACAATTTTACAGAAGACAAATTAAGACAACTTCCCACAGTTAGAGGAAGTTACACAAGTAACGTTCAAGAGATTAGTTACCAGAAAGTACTGTTTGTCTCTGTTTCTCTGTAAATATGTTAATATTGAAGATAGATTGATACTTTATTTATCCCGAGGGAAATTCAATGCTCTCCGTTCTAATATCACACAAAGGTTTACTGCCTGAACACGTTTTAAAGCCTATAAGGTAAAATCTTAAGCAACATCATTTCAGCTTAGAATCACATATAAATGGTTATTAGAGATTAAGTAAGACCACAAGCATACCTGTAAGGATATTCTTAAAGGCTTCTTCAACGTTTGTTGAGTCCAGGGCTGAAGTTTCTATGAATGACAGATTGTTCTTCTCTGAGGGGTAAGAAAGAAAACATACATTGAACAGTAATAGAAGCTTGCTATTTATTAGAAACATCCAGTGACATAACTTAATATATATATAATAATGGCAAGAGTAGAAGACTTATTGTTTGTTTTTTCTGGTCTTACCACTTTGAGGAAAACAAACAACACAGTTAAGGTTTCTATGAGGATTTTGTATAACAGCAGCGCAAGCAACTGGACACATATTGTAATAAATATCGAATAGTAAAAAAAACTACAAACAATACAAAAAAGGCTATGAATTAAAAAAACTAAACTCTAAAATTCCTAATTCTAAAATACCTGCGAATGCCCGGGCCTCGTCTGTGGGCACGGCCCTGAGGTGGCGCAGGTCGCTCTTGTTGCCGACCAGCATGATGACAATGTTGTTGTCAGCGTGGTCCCTCAGCTCCTTCAGCCAGCGCTCCACATTCTCATAGGTCAGGTGTTTGGCTATGTCATACACTAAGAGTGCCCCCACTGCTCCTCTGTAGTACCTGTAACAGTGATGACAGGGAATGTCAGGGTGGTCTACTGTTTTCTGGTTTAGTCTTAAGTCCTGTTATTTTTCAATAATTCATTTCATATTCTGTTGTTTGTACACTGCTGGATGTCATGTATCATGTTAACAATGAGAATACCAGCGTGTAACTCATATTGTACTGTATTTTGGTGTTTAAATTGGTCTTAAATTCAATTCTATGTGAGATATAGGCTATATATGCTTTCTGAAACATGCAGATACTCTAAATATACATTGAACATGTTTGACATTTATCAGATGCACTTCTGGATAAACAGGACATTGAGAGAGAGCTCCCCAGGGTTCTGTGTCTAACTCGAGAAGATTAAACCCACTAGCTAAAGTCCTAGTCCACAATTGACATAAAATGTCAATTTATGTTATTGACATAAAATGTCAATTGTGACTGCACAGCTGAAGTATTCCCCCTCAATGAGGGGTTTCAGGTAACAAGCAGGACTATCTGCACCACACAGAAATGGACTCACGCTGAGGTGATGGCTCTGTAGCGCTCCTGTCCTGCTGTGTCCCAGATCTGCGCCTTTATCGTCTTGCCATCCACCTGAATGCTGCGTGTGGCAAATTCCACCCCGATAGTGCTCTTACTCTCTAGGTTGAACTCATTTCGCGTGAATCGAGAGAGCAGGTTGCTCTTCCCTACGCCTGAGTCCCCAATTAAAACAACTGTGGAGGGAAAGAGAAGGAGAGAGGATGAGACAAGTGTGTTTGTATGCTGAATGTGTGATGGGAGAGGCGAGGGGATGGGCTACATATATTAATAGATCCCAGAAGAAATGTTGATATAGCATAAAGCATTGCCTCTAAACGCTGGTTTGAACAGATCCCAGGGGCATCATGTATTTGTGTGTGATTAATAGGATGTGTAAAACATATTTCTACTGTAAAGGAGTGTAGCAAACTACAAGGCTCAGTACATAACCTTAGTGTTACTACTCATTAGTGCTCGAGAATCTGCCTTTTTTTCCTTTTTACTTTCATACCAGCTTCTAACTTAATGAACAGCATCATTTTGGAGTTTTTGGAATTCAACAAATTAGTTCTTTCAGATCAATTTCAAGAAGTTTCTCAGCACCATTTATCAAAAATAATGTGTGATGAACTGTTTAATAATTGATAATTCATGTGTATTGTATTGAACAATATATTGAAGGTAGGTGTGATAGTGTCCATCTTTCCTCTTAGGTTTGGCCTGTTCTGCATATGCTGTAGAGAACCACTCACATAGACAAAGAGGGTAGACCAGCTAAAAAAACATGTGTCAGTTAGTAACCAACCACCTAAGACCATAAGAGGTACGGTTATTTAATTCATGCCATCATCCACCCATCAAATAACCCAAACAAGAATTAAAGCCTGAGGGATTATCCACTAAATAAAGAGGTTCTTTAGTTGGTTTTGGCACAATCACAAAAAAAAGAGGGGTAGGTTTGTAAGACTGAGCAGAATATGCTTAACTGAATAAATGAGGGTTTTGCATTTCACCCGGCATCTCTAATAGACTGTACTAAAACACCCTGAGGGTGAAGATATTCAGCAAATGAAATCTTCCTGAGAGCACTCAGGTAGGGAGGCTTTAACCTGATTAACCTTCACATTTGTTTACCTATGGTTTAAGTCCCAGAAAATCCAGAACCATCTACAAAAAAAAAAAAAAACTATAGGAATGTGACACCAACACTGTGAGTATATATATGTGGATGTAACATTGAATGCATCAGAAAGAACCTTAAGCAAAATCCCTTTGGAGGACCAGCTGTGGGTTTGAATCACTACTGCTGAGCACCCACAGTATAAACAACAAAGATTGATTATTATCAGGCCTCCTTGTCCACACAAGGGACATCAGAAGTGATTGATCAGGCTCATGGTCCTGTGCTGAGCCGGTGTCAGGACCGGGGCTGAGGAGGCTGCTGTCCACAGCACGGCAGCAGAGGTGGAGCCCTTTTGTTTTCTCTCTCCTTCGACAAAAGGAAATAGAGCCGAACTTTGTCCCTGTCGACATCGCGCTGGTCCGGGCTGCAGGAAGCTGATAACAGGGCTTCATCAAAACCTGAATCGACAGTTTCAGGCCGCCTTGCCCTTCCTGTTTCGGCCGGGTACACAGACGATGGCTCGGGCAGAGAGAGACACACAGAGAGGGAGGGAGAGAGAGAGAGAGACAGCCCTCGCCTCCGGCAGATGCCCTATTCATCCCACAGAGGATACTTTGTTACATCTAAATGGCCCTTTGCCTTATACAGGCCCAGGATGTTAATGTGCCACAGGAGCTGATAGCACGATCAAAGGAAGGCATTCTGGATCCAACTGAGCACTGAAGATAAACATGGAGCTGAGTCTTCAATCTCAGTGACAAACTGATTAGGCCTATTGATTGTCATTAAAACGCTAATAATAATAATAATAATAATAATAAAAGTTGCGGCATTTTCAGTGAGAGCCGTCTGACTAACAATCATCTGAGGATGGAGCTTATTGATCAATAGAGGCTAATAGGCCTTTAAAACAAGCTCATGAGGTGGAATGAGTAGAAAAACATCAAATATCATTCAGTAAAGGAGGAAGCTGTTCACCCAAACGACTGAAGCCGCTGTGCGAGTTGATGAAAGTTTAATACGAGCTGAGCACGGATGGGGTGTTGCATCCTATACCTATAAATATAGCTGCAGGCGCTGTAATGTTACAATGACAGCATTATGTTGTAATAACAGCAAGCGGGTACCATCCGGACAAACATCAGTCTGCTTCCTATCAAAATGCACATCTGGTCAGCGAAAACCACACAATAAGGCATTACAGGCATTTATAAAGCACAGCTTCGTCGGTGAGAGCCTGTGTGAAAGGGGGAATGCAGTCATCTTTTCTTTTTTTTTTTTTTTACCTTTGAACAAGAAATCGTATTCATCGTCTCGGTTCCCCATTCTAGACGAGGCCGCTCCAACGGTTGCGTCCGGAAGAAGATGTGTGGAAAGTGTGGCTATGAATTGTCGTTATATGCCAGAAAAATACGGGAAAGGTTTGTGCTGGGAGACTCTGCGCCAGTTTTGGCTGTCAAGGCGAGCTGGCCGCAGAAGGGGGAGAGCTTTCCCAACTCTGCAGAGGGAGGGGAGGAGTCCCTGCACTTCAACATACCTTCCTCAGGGGGGCGCTCTTTACGGGCATGCCTGCAGACAAGCGTTCAGAGCCCGGAGTCAGACAGCCGTTTAATTGTGAATGAAAACAACAAACAGGGTCAGGCCACAAAGGATGTGCAACAACAATTAAGTTCACGTTTAATTTCACGTGTAAAATGTTAATGTTCACAAAGCTTTTAATGGCTGACTGTGTACGGTTTGTGTACAATAATAAAAATGTTAGATTTAGTCAGATCTAGCAGTGTGTTCAGCTCCGTTGTATCAGCAGTAATAAACAGTGAATCTCAACCTACTGAGAAGAAAAGATGTTTTAGAAGTAAATAATAAACGTAAGTGGATAAAGTCATGGTGGAGATATTTTATACTAATACGAGAGGCTATAATAAGAAATTATAGGGAAAATTCAAATCATAGAGCAAGTTGCATGAGGGAACGTGCAGTTACTCGAAATAAAATGTAAATGGTCTCATACAAACATAATATGTATGACTGAACATAAATGTGATGAAACTCGCAAGTCCTAAGATCTGTATGTCCTTTGTACTTTTGGCACATCAGTCTTTAAATATATATGTAATGTATATATGTAGTATGTTTTATGTATCTTTCTTTCTTTATGATTATTTGGTTTAGTTTCTGTTCTTTTTTTATTTCAATGCATTTGTTTTCATAAAACATTGTCTCTGACGATAACAATACAACTGGAAACTTTTGGAAATTTAGGATGAAAATCAAACTGTTTGCACATGAAAATGCCCCATGTATATAGATAGATAGATACTAGATACGATAGATAGACCTTTATTTATCCCGAGGGAAATATCAAGGCATCAGTTAGGCAATACAAAATACCAAAACATACATTAGAAACATACAAAAACTAAAATTAAAAACCGCCTGACTTAAAAACAGAAATCCAAAAATAAGCAATAAAAGAATAAGAATATAAAGCTATATCTATAGTCAATGTCATGTGTATAATCATATGAATTAACAGTAATAAATGAACAGTAGCTACATAAAACATTGGCAAACCCCAGTAAACAGTGCAAATGGAGTGGAAGTGCAAGTGGAAGTAAAAGTGCAAATGGATGTGCAAATCAGGTATACATTGTCCTTGTCTATTTGCTCTACTTGTCTAATTGTCTCCCTGGCCTTTACTGAGAAGTTATATGATTATATATGATAGTTGAGATATACTGAGACTATAACTGAAACTGACAGTAACATATGTGATTTTAAATATATTATACTCACTGTAATAGTGAAGTCCGAGGACATATTGGGACATTTTCTGACTCCTAACTGAACATTCAAATTAAACCCATTTGGATTATGTCCTAAATTTAAAAATGACTTGAGCCCATTCAGTGTCATCTTAAAAAACAGCCAACTAGGGATAAAATAAATGGTCTTAAAAGTCTTAAATGCTCTGCTTAGTTTAGTGTTGATAATGAGAGTGTAACATAAGCACCGTGTAGCTCCTTTTAGGGTGTACTGTCCCTTTAACGTCGTCCTGACAGCCGGCCCCGCCCCCAGACCCCCCAGCTCTGCTCCTATTGGTCGAGCGGAAGGTCAGCTGCTGCACCGAGGCTGCACGTGCTGCTCCGCGCATTTCAAGATCAAGATGGCAGCCTCCGTGTGTCGGTGCTACGAGGTGAGACACTCACACATTGTCCTTCACTGCCGCTCCGAAGTCTCCAGCACATCGTCTCATAACGGGGATAGTGGCGCACGGCTTTGGTACTAGTCTTCTCGGTTCCAGTTGAGTGTAGGAGATTTATTAGGGTGTTTTTAATTCAGCTCGAGCGCGAGATGTCCGTCAGAAAAGGCCTTGTTGCACCATGTCAACAGTGTTCTCAATGTTCTTGTTTACAAATCAACAAATCATCGTCTGAAATCAACGTTTTGTTTCAGGGTTTGCAGGGGGGGAAGATGTCTGTGAGCTCTGGTTTGAAACTGTTAACATTTGGTTATAGTGAGCCTTTTATACTCGGACATATATTCAGTACTGACTCATCGTTTCAGTGACTGCAGGTTGTAAAACATTGCAGGTAAAACAGGATTAATAAGGGCGGTATAGTATTATAGTAATTAGATTAGACTCTTAACATTGAATGTGTGATTTGGGTTAACCTCAGCCTGTGACCCTTCAGTTTCTGTGACACTAGAGGATCAACTATTTGAAAAGAGACCCAGATATCGTCAGGTTAGGTTTTTTTACAGACACAGATACTATTTTGCTACTGATATTCAAATGTTTCTAAATACTATGGGGCCACAGCTTTCATGAGAACAGTATATGCTAAACGTTAGCAGTGACAATGTAGGTGAAATCCAACTATGGCCACAGAATTTACAGTCTGAAATGTTTCCACCCATTAAAGACAGCTGACACATTAGAGAAATATCTGAATTGAGACACCGGCATGATTTTGGTCTGTTTATCCCCCTTAGAGGGAAGAATGAATGAATGAATGAATGAAAATGCCCCCATCAACAAGGCTTGAGAGATCACTGAATGGTTTGATCTTAACTCATAAAAACTCTTTTAGGTCCCTCCACTTCTGTCATTAAAAAACACCATGAAAATGAGGGACTAGCTTTTGAAAGAATGGTGTTCATCCCCCCCGCAGAGGCTTGGAGGATCTATATCAAGGAGCACTGAAGCTGTTCTTAAGGCTTGCAGTGGACCACACCTTACCAACACACTTAATTGTTATTTTTCTTATTATGTCGACCATGTTGAAACAACAGTTACATGTATCCTGGCAATGGTCTCTAACATTACTATATCATATGCAAATTACCGCCCTGTAAAGAACCGAAACAAATGGTAAATGGAGTTCTTGCAAGTAGCAATAAGACCCTGTTTTTCTTGCCATTTTCCTATTTTTAAATCATTGCTCATTATTGTGTGGGCATGACTCATTAGTGTCCCATTAACCGCCTGTCAGTCATTCTCCACCCACTGCCGTGTTGGCAGAGTCGATGTTTGTTACTGTTTGACTGAGTTTCTCTCCGTTGCAGCTGGTTGGCAGACGTGCCCTGGCCCTCTGCTCCCGGCCTCTGGTATCCTCAGCGTGGAGAGGAGATGCCTACAGGTTACGTGGGAGTCCAGCTCCCTCTGTGCAGGTACACTGAGAAACTCCCATTCACCTTTTAAATGACACACACTCATTGTTGATTCGACCAAAGACAACGATGAGTTGTTTGGTTAAGAATTCATTTAAGTTTGAAAGTTGAATAATAGTTTTACTTATCAGACTGCTGTGCCCTATTTTTTCCTTTCATACTAAAAAGAATATAGACTCTGGATTATTCACTTCTCAGTGGTAATTTGTGAATAATCTGTTCACCCTATTCTCACATCTGTCTGTCCAACTGAAGTCCTCCTTTCTGTTCTGTCATTAGGTGCGATATGCTTCGGGACGCAAAGGTTTCCTGGGAGAGTTTGTGGACACCCTGCGTCAGGAGTTCAGTAAGAATCAGGAGATGAAAGAGAACATAAAGAAGTTTAGAGAAGAAGCGAAGAGGCTTGAGGAGTCTGATGCTCTCCAGCAAGCCCGTAGGAAATATGTAAGAGCATGATTTGGTTTGTGGCCACAGTTTTTGAGTAATATAATAAAACTGTATTACTATTTTTTATTTATTATTTTGTACTTTTGTGACTCATTCACTCATTTGCTTTTTTATTTCCTTCATTAGAAAACTATAGAGGCTGAGACAGTGAAAACTTCAGAGGTGTTTAAGAAGACCTTCGGCTCCCTGTCAGACACCGTCAAGGAGGTAAGGTATCAGCACTTGTGGGGGCAGATTGGCCTATTAAAACTGACCACAATGACTGTTTCCTCAGAATCAATACGTACATCAATACGTACATGTCATATTGGAGTTATCCCATTTGTGATGGATAGTTGCATTTTATATATTTTGCCCTTTTCTGTTTGATTAAAATGTCAAAAAGTACATGGCCTCAAATGAAAAAATAAAGTTATGTCTTCTTGGTTTCTGGAAAAGTGACATATTGTATGTTTAACCATATTAACTAATTGCAACTGTCTTTATGTATTTGTGTGTGTGTCCATTGTATTGGCATTCTGGCCATAGGGTCTTGAGGAGGTGAGTCGTACTGACATTGGGAAGAAGATCAAGGAAGGCGTGGAGGAGGCAGCCAGGACAGCCATGCACTCTGCTGAGTCTGTCTCCAAAGGAGGAGAAAAACTGGGCCGAACCGGCGCTTTCAAGGCCATCTCACAGGTCAGATGTGAAAACATAATATTCATAAATTTCCAAGGTTTCACTCTCAAAAGTGAGTTTGTCTGGAGGGGCATCTTGTAATAAACCTTGTTGTTAGTACCCAGCTGCAGCTATCTCCCTCCTGTACTGAATGGTTCAGTATAAATAAATGCACCGTTATACCCCGCGTATAATGAAACTGTGTGTCATCTCTGTAGAGTGTGGAGACCATGAAGAAGGAGATAGATGTTGGTGATGCCGGCCCTTACAGAGCTCCCTCCCAGCTGAGGAAGAGAAGCGATTTCTCCTCCAAAGGAGCTGACAGCGACAGCAGAGTGTTCGAGGCCAATGAGTGAGTAACTGTTCTCGTGCCTTCTTTTGTAAGCATATATATCTTCACTTGGACAGTGTATGTTCCCTATTAATCAATAACTGCACTTGTTGTAAATATCTCTACTGATGGAAGTGATTTCTTTTGTTTTTTGTGATGCAGAGAGGCTATGGGTGTCGTTCTCCACAAGGATTCAAAGTGGTTTCAGCAGTGGAAGGACTTTAAAGACAATAACGTCGTTTTTAACAGTAAGAAAATGCTCTGGATTCTAGATACTGTGGAATTAGTGTTTATATAATAGATGAGTCTGCAGTGTGTAATTTCCTTTTAGGGGCAGCAGATGGCACCAGATTCTTTACAGTAGATTGCATATTAAATGAATACAGTTCAGGTGTCAAGTGTTTATCTTTACTGAGGCACATGTGCTCTCACAGGTGCAGGCTTTTATCTCCCATTATCAAACAATTCATCCTCACCACAGTTGTTTCCCTATTGTTTCCTACAGGGTTCTTTGAGATGAAGATGAAATATGATGAAAGTGACAATTCCCTCATCAGAGCTTCCAGAGCTGTGACAGACAAAGTCACTGACTTCCTAGGTAATACGTCACCATAGTTGCTGATAGTTCTTATCATCACCTCATCCGGAAATCTGCTTCAAATTAGTGGCAGACAACAAAAGACTAGCTTGTTTTAAAGCATAGACATAAGATATACACTTATTTTTGTTAACATCCCATTTGTAGTAACGAGTGATCTTGGTGTTTGTTTTTTAGGTGGTCTTTTCTCTAAGACAGAAATGTCCGAGGTGCTTACAGAGATTGTGAAGGCAGACCCCACCTTTGACAAAGACTCTTTTCTCAAACAGTGTGAAAAAGACATCATCCCTAACATACTGGAGGTAAACAAACTCATCTTCCAGCTTTTCCTACTCTCTTTCTGGCTACTTCATTCACACTGTTTTTTTAGCTCAATACCTGAAGGTATTCCGCTAAGGAAGCTAGAAAAAGCCTTATTGATGGAGGACTTGCTTCATTAAATGTGACTCTTTAACCACCTTAGATAAGATTCAGTAAACGAACTTGTGACTTCTCCTGTTAGAATTAATGAAAGTCGGGGGTGGAACTGTTAGATTTTAAAGCAAGTTCTAAGCAAGCTGGGTAGCAAAAGAGAATAATTGGAAATTATTGATGACAGGATGCCAGGAAACACTCAGAACAATGTGTTCATCCTTCATGGTTCCATAACAAGAGCGGATGATGCAGTTTCAAGAAAATTATAAGCATATAATAATAATAAAAGATGGCATTGAATGTGGTTTAATGAATTAAGATCTGTAAAGGCTACAAGTCAAGACCTTATCAAGTGGCTGTATGGTAAAATGGTCTGTTTACATTTTTAAAACTGTGTCTGACAAGGTTTGACTGAAACTCATTAACTGCCTAAGCTGACGTGTGGAAAATCCCCTCTGTAAGCAATCATCAATAACACAGTGTCACTGTCCTTTCTGCAGGCTATGATCCGTGGAGAGCTGGATGTATTAAAAGACTGGTGCTATGAAGCTGTAAGTTCAATGCTGCTGCCTATAAGTTATATACTTAATCAACTCTAAATAAATACACCATGGAAGGTGGAGGTATTTGTGTTTCATCACCATCTCCCTGTGTCCTTAAACATCTCTGGGGATTAATGCTCCAGTGCTTTCTGAGTCTGTCAGTGTTTTGATTTGTTTACAAATGGGCACAATGACCTTTTTCAGAAATAGAAACGACTGTTGGTCTGTCTACTTCAGTTGCGTCATTTTCATGTCAAATATGTGTTTTACCTGTCCACAGACGTACAGTCAGCTGGCTCACCCCATCCAGCAGGCCAGAGCACTGGGGCTGCTCTTCCAGTCCAAAATCCTTGACATTGATAACATAGATGTAAGTGTTTCACTAATGTACACCAGCTGTGTGTTATACCCTACTGTGTTCACATATTTAAAGTAAGATTGCGTCTTTCCTTCCTTCTCTTTAGTCCTCGTTTTCCCTCTTAACGAACATTCACAAAAGCAGACATTATGTATTGTTTACGTGTATAAGAAATTTTTTTACTGCAGAAAATGACAATAACCTTTGTTAAGTGTGTTCTTCTAATGTTCTTATATATAATATATAATATATTTCTTTGTTCATTGTAGCTAGCGATGGGTAAGATGATGGACCAGGGCCCAGTGCTGATCATCACCTTCCAGGCACAGGTTGTCATGGTGATCCGCAGCCCCAAAGGAGACATTGTGGAAGGAGATCCGGTCAGTAAACTTATAATTACTGCACCTGCATAGTGAATCTGATATAATCAGTCATTTCAAGGAAGCAAACAACTCAAATGGCTGAAATTAGATCAACTTTATAACACATTAAAAACAGGTTTAATGTAGCAATAGGACTCTTGTTTTAGTAATACACTAGGATTTAAATTGAAAGTGATAAGTGTTTCATACAAGCTAAATCAGAAGGATGATTATTAAGTTTTGAACTTCTAGAAGAGCCGTCCACCCTATCCATAGTGTCTCTTCGGGGCTGACCTCTGCTCTCCTCCCTCCTCAACAGGGGAAGGTGATGAGGATGATGTATGTTTGGGCGTTGTGTCGTGACCAGGAGGAGCTGAACCCCAACGCAGCCTGGAGACTCCTGGACATCTCTGCCTCCAGCACCGAGCAGGTCCTCTAGGAGGAGGTGGAGGAAGAACACAGGTGAAAAGGTCGATGGAACACACAAACTGTGAAGAAGGGCAGCAGATACAAGGATGTGTCTGCTAACACCTGCACGCACTGACTCACGCATACAGTATATGTACATTAACATCTGAGGGCATGCTCCTTTGTTATGCCAGAGACTTCATTTGCACATGTATATATTTGTCCACTCTAAGCTGCAAAAATATACATAAACATAGAGTTAAACTACCGATATATCCATAGAAAACTGTGTCCACCAGTATGTGTGTGTAGTCTCTTGCACTGGTTCGCTCAGTGCTTGGATTTCCAGGTGGAGTCGAATATAGAACATTTACATTAATTTTGGAATGGATGGAACTTGTTCACCAACTGGCTAAAAGAGGAGCCTGTGCCATTTCCCTTTTTTGGGTTGTTTAACCCAATGGTACAATCCATCCATACCAGCCTAGTGGCCAGGTCCAAGAAGATCGGTGGGAAAAAAAATGGACATCGTACCTGTGACTTTACCTGCTGGACACTTGAAGCCTAAAATTAAGTTTAATGCTCATGCTCACTGTCTTTGTCAAAAAATGTGAAAGAAAATTTGGCAGTGGCATGGAGTCACATGTTGCAGCAACCAACATAGCTCAGTGGGACAGCATGAGAGACCTTCGTAATGCAGGTTCCATAATTCAAGTTAGAGGGGAACTCAATGTTATCCAGGTACATCAGTTTATTTCCACAGCGTGTAGCCTGACAAGACTCCCAATGACAACTAAATTGGAGTACGACTTTAATCACTATAAAGCACACATAAGAGAATGAGATGTCGTAAATGTCTTCAGACAGAAAATGGTAACCAAATTAGCACTGACCATTAAACCAAGTGCACCTTAAGGCATTACAGCATTGGCTACAAAATTCAGCTGTGGTGGTTCCTGCAGGCTTTTACATCAGAAAACTTAAACACATGTACAACAAGTAAGATGAAGTTTGGACCTTATAATGTAGGATATAATGATCTGTATAGTCAGGGTGCCTGCTGTCATATGTGCTGCAGCTTAAAGCGAGAAGACATATCTTTGCGTTTGTATTTGCAGTTATATAACGCAGCATATGTTTTATCAAGTTGCAGTGCATTGGACCCCCAGTCACTGTACGTTCTGTACACCATCAGTAAGTAGAAATGTATTTACAGCTCTCAACCCTTTGTAAATATATTAAATATCAAATACTGCTTCTTTGTAAGCTTGGGTGGGACCACATTCATATGTGCCATGGCAGCTTTATTGTTTAAGGATCCATTGCCATCTCATGTTGCTGTATTAAAATATGTTTGGTTTACTTTTATGTATGTGGCTTTTCAAGGGGTTAATGCTGAAGATGAAAACTTGAATGAATGAGTGCATTACTCTACTGTTGACTGTATTTAAAATTAATTCTGTGTCTGTCTCTACTCTGTCACTGAAGACTGAACACATTATGATTGTACTGTAACGTTTTCCTCTACTGTTCAATTAATCTACAGAAACGTCCATAAAGAGAAGAGTAGTTGAGCTCATGATGAATATCTGTTGTGCCCAGATTGTACCTTGAGAATCATGATTTATGTGTATGACATTTATCATCCATGGCCTAAAGCGTATAGAGTTCATGACAACCCCTTACAGTCAAACTATGCTCAAGTAGCGTCTCTTTGTGATGAGCTCCTGGTGTGTGCTGACAGCATTCAGTGATACAGAACCCCCTGTGCATCTTAGAGATATTGTGCCTTGGGGTGAAAAATAATACCTACCACTTAGGGCTACACTTAGCATATAATGTGCACTCAATTTGGAAATTAAACAACAGGTGAGATAACTCCTTGATAAACATGTATAAGCTGTGAAGGTAAGAGACTGTTGGTGAGTTTCCCTTACAGCTGGTCCATGGCAAAATCTCTTAACAGGTATAAATCTGATTATTATTTTTCATCCCCACACAGTGAATAATAATAAATAATAAAATATGTAACTTTTCCTCTAGCACCACTACTCAACAGATCACCACTGTGTTTGTCCTATGCAACACGTTAACATTGTGGCCAGGACTTCATAGTTTTAGTCTTATTGTGTATATTAATTCAAGGCACAAATATATTAAACTAAGATTTTTTTATATATATATTTTACCAGAATAAGGATCAGTTCTTAAGATTGGAGTACATTGGTTTACATAAAGTGACAACAGACCCAGTGTAACTTGTTATTGTGTCAACAAGTGATTTAGGAAACAAAAAGGTTTGCATGAAAAATGACCCTGTTGCCACATTTTCCCATGATTATAAATCATTTTCCATACTGTATGATGTATATGCATTTAAGGTGTTCCACTAAAATTTACACAATATATTCGTAATTGAACTTTACATTCATTGTTTTATGTTTTAGTTGACCAAAGAAAAATATATTCATGAGTTTTTCTATTTTTATCCAGTAATATGTCTGAATAAAGAGTGCTGTATTATGATTTGCTTTGTCCAAGCTTTCTTAAAGCCAGCAGCTTTGTATGCATTGTGTGTGTTTGTGCTCACAAGAGGAAATTAAACTCGGGCTCTTTGTGTGTGTGTGTGCTTGTGTGTGTGTTTGTGTGTGTCTTTTGTTTTCTCATTTCAAACCTGACATGCTTTGATATATGTCCATGGATCTGGCCATTGACACTGGTTGATAAACCTATGGATTTGGTAGTATAGGGTTGATAGATCAGGCTTTAAATAACACATGCCTGTAGATCCACACACATGGCTGATATATATAGGGGACCTCATCCTACAGCTGTCTGTTGTGATGAATGACTGGGCACATCCTTGTACTAACTAACCTCCTCCAAAGTCTACTTGCTTCTCTTGACTGACTGAAAGCTACTGAGAGTTGATATGTGAACAAACATGAGCTCTTAAAGGTAAATTAAAGTGAACCCTTTCCAAATAATAGTGTTATTGGCAAGTCTCTGCAGGACATTCTCATACAGTTTAGTTTATTTTGATTTGTTAACAGTAAGTTAACAGTAAAACCATTTAAATAACATGATACAGAAAAGGCATCCCTGTTAAAAAGTCAATGTTTTGGCCCCTGAGCAATGAGTACTCTTATTGTATCTGAATGAATGGGGTTGGATGCACCAACACAACAGCCTAGAAACAGAAAAGTCCTTGGAGGCAGTGCTTTGCTTTATCTGCTTTAGTTATTACAGTATGTTCATTGTGGCACACTACCATGTATACACCAAGCTGTGCTCTAGTCTGCGTAATGAAAAGGCTTTCAGTGCAGCAACATCATACAATTATGTAAGCAGATATTACAGTGTCTGAATCTCATAGATATACTTATTTTGATACTTAAATTTACTTTTGTGGTTGTTTTGGTTTGGATTTGATGATAAGCAACATGCTTTTATACAATGTGTGATTTAATTAATTAATCAGTTGCTCAGTCCTAAGAGACAAACTCCACAAGAGCTTGATAGACAGGAAATCAATATTTGTTCTAAGCATGCTGCACACCTTTAGGGTTTGATGCACTACATCATTTATTTCACTCTACGTTGTTTCATCTTGCTTCATATTGACAGTAATTCCTGGGTAATTCCTCAAACCAAAGAAACTGAACTCACAAGAGATGAATTACCATCCTCAACAGTATTGCAAGGTTATGTTCATCTTGTTGGACATAGTTTGTGGGGAGACACTTGGTGATCATTTGGAAGTAAAACTCCAGAACAATCCTGGGACATCCCGTCCTGAGTCACTCACTTATTCCCAAGCCGTGTACTTCCCCATGGAGCTGTTACATATAAAACTGTAAATGGTCAAGTGTATGGTGGAATTAGGTGAGATGTGTCTTAAAGAACAGACTGCTTTAAAGGACAACTTATTGCAACAAAGACTCAAATGCTTCACAGACCAGTCTTCCAAGACTCACCTGCTATCATGAGGTCTATATATCCTGTAGTGGTGACTCACATCTGTTTCCATAACCACAGCTTGACCTCCCGTTGTACGACGGATTTGTTGAATTTCATAACCTTACAGGCTTATCAATTATGACCACAGTGGGCGGCCTGCCGGAGCACTGCTCAGTGTGATTTGATTATGAGCCCCTTCAGGACAGTGTTACAATCCACTGACTATTAATTAAACCTACAGGGAGATCCCATGCGGCCTCAGGCGGGGGAGATGTGGATGTGTACGGATGGCAATCTGTCCCAGTGTTTGTACAGTTTTAATTGTGTCAATTAATTACTTCTCACAGTGAGTGTCTGGAGCTAAGCCACAGGCACAGTCAGGTTGCTCTACTTGTTTTGTTCCACATCATGTATTTTCTTAAAGTTCAGCAAAACTTGCAAAGCTGTCATCTTATACAACCTACAGTAATGAAGTCTTGCTTTAAGCATATGCAATCTATGGGACTTAAATCAATTTGTTACCTCTTAAAAAAACTATTTTTTTGCCTAGACCTACTTTATTACAAACAAACCACAGTATTACGTTGTTAGGAAGTGAAGATTACAAGGGCAAAGTGGAAAACTGGCCAAGGGCTCTTTATTTGTGGGGCCTCCTACCCACCAGTTTGGGGAATTAATAAAAAAATGAAATGAAAGCAGATGTTACCTGCATTATTACCTGATCAGCAGCACTGTTTTGTAGACGGGCAGTGTGAACATCTGGTTCTGAAATCTGATCTGATTTAATTCTAGCTTCACCAATAGTTTCTATTCTGTTTACATGGTACACATGGTACAAACTACCAGCAGCACAGCAAACCTGTAGAGTGGGTGGCCCACAGTTCATTTTTCCCTCAAGGAAGGGAAAGAACAGGTTAATTCAGCCATGTATGTTTTAAACCCAAACAAAGGCATAGCACATAACACCAAAGAGACTAAGATATCTTTACTTGTTCAGTTATATTTTCTGTATGTTTTATGTAAATGGGGCAGTTATTTTGAAGAAATTGAAAAAAAAGAAAAAAACATAATATTACTACCATATTACACATCTTAAAACAAAATATTCTAGGAAATTATAGAGCTTTAAAACAAAGAGTTCAAGTTTAATTTATGCTGTTTCAAAACTCTCTCCAAGCTTCCAGGAAAAATATTCTGGTGGAAAATGACTGAATCCTCCTGAATCAGAAATACTGTAATCAGCCAAAACATGTGTACATTCTTGTACAGTATACTGTATACTTTTTTACTGTATAAAAACTCTCCCATTGGTGCTAAAAAAAAACTTCCTAGAAAAAAATGACTGGTATATTTTTTTTATATAGGACCTCAATGTCTTCAGTGGTACCTCTAACGCCATTGCAGGGGCCTCATCACATTTGTCTTTTAATAAATTGTAAGAAGCGTCACGAGACTAAAGTTATAGTTAAATCTAGTCAGTTTTATTTCTATAGCCCAAAATTACAGCTTTGTCTTGGATGGCTCTACACTTTGTACAACATATGACATCTTCTTGGTGGACCATCGATATGTTTAAGGTAAATTGTACAAAACTGTACAAAAGCTATTTATAAGCAAATGCAGTCTTTACCTTTATGATCTAGTTCCTGCGCACCGGTCAACTACGTTTCGTTGTGCAAAAGTTGTTTTTTATTCGTACAGGAATATTCTAAGAGAATGTGAGAGTTATTAGTTTGGAGTAAACAACAATAAAACACAGTGGCACTATGTCTGGCCCCTCAGTGTCCATGCCCCACGCAGTCCTCTTACATAATGCAGAAGCCAAACACGGCTTTCGGCGCTTTACTCATCCAAACGAAAAGATTATGTGTGCAGTCCGTACAGGGACAGTCATGAGTGGGCAGGGAGTGAGGGAGGTGGGGCGGATCCCTCAAACTGAGCGGGCTTAAAGCTCCCGACGAAGCAGAGGAGGTGCAGCAGGACGTGACAGAGTTCATACACACTGTCAGTGGTTCAGACCTGAAGAGTCCGGAGCTGTCCGCGGTGCTGAACAGCTGCTGCAGGATCATCATCATCATCATCATCATCACCAGCCTGAAGGTAAGTTCTCTAATCTGATTGTCCTTCCACTTTGTCTCTAGAAGGATGCGATAACGATGGCTTTGTTTGTCATAAGTGAACTTTTGTTTGTAGAAGTCAGTGTGGAGCTGTGGATGCCACGCATGCCCTGGTGTTACTTTATGGATTATAGTGGGCAGGGTGTTACCTTGTGCTGTTGTGTAACATCACGTCACATTACACTGGGCAATGTTATGCAAATAAATGTTTTAAATGAAAGAAAAATACTTCATGTATCCCTTATTTTTACATGGGTGATCCACTTGACTGCCCTGCTAACCTGTAATACAGTAGAGACAGCCTCACATATATATATATACATAATATAACAATATTAATGTTACTGCAGTTGATTGTGCTTTCTTAAGGCACCAACATTTTAAACTGTACTTGTGATATCAGGTCATATAAAGGCAGATTTACCAGATGACTACTTATTTCCTGCATTTTTGAAATACAGTGACAGTAGTAAGTTTTAAAAGAATAAAATCATCTGCTTCTTCCTGCTTTTTTTTGAAAGTTTAAACTGCCTGTCTCTGAATCTTTGAACCACGTCCACTTGTTTCTGTGATCAAGAAGTTTTATTGCTTTTGACTAGAAGAATAAACATCAAACTACAGACAGTCTTTGGGGTGATATAATCAAAGATCACCAGCAGCAGGGATTAAAGAAAGACAACATAATTGCACACACTGAAGTAAAAGTTTTAGATGCTTTAAAATCAAAAAAGTTACATGACAGAGCTTCAACTGTAGATATTTGGCTTTGTGTAGCCTGGGAGTCCCACATTCAGGGTTTATTTACCATTTTTATTAGGAGAAGTCCTTGACATTTTCAAAGCTGCTGATATAATCCATAGGTACAAACAGGAGGTATTACAGCTAAGAGGAACACCATATGTCACTGCATGTGCTTTGTCATCAGAATTCATTGGCATGGCTGCTTGAGGCTTTCGTAAATCTACTTTTTACTCTATTTTATTGCTGCTTTTAAATGAAAATATGTGGTTCTCTGACAGTCGTCCAAATATTTCATCCAATATGGGCTCTGGAACAGTTAAAAGTCAGTCAGTCAGTAAAAGTTTTTATTTTTTATTATATGTGTAAATCAGATGTGGTCAGGCAGTGTGATTTATCTGCTGCTTAGGAACCAAAGCTGGCTTCTCAATGAGGATCTATGAGCCATGAAATTGATGTCGCCCCCTCTTTTATATTCTTTAAAGCTATATTTGTTTTTACTTGTCAATGCGACTGTGTTTCCGACCTCGTTCTTGGCTCTGTCCTGTTTGTATATGATTTTGACCTTGTGTAACCTGCAGAGTTTGTGAGTGACCTAAAAACATACAGTGACTTCCCTGGTCACCTTTGGACACGTCCATCTTTAATGGGTCCACATATCTGCAGAGTCTGCGTATGAATAACTAGATATTTTTGTATATTTGTATATACTTTTGTGATATTAAAAAAAGCGTTTTGTTTGACTTCCTGACTTGTGAAGAGGTTTGGTCTTGGAATAAAAAATGTAGCATGGAGCTTAATTAATGTTACCCTCCCTACCACTGTATATTCTGCCAATGTAGCATAAAGTACACTGTGATGTAGAGTTGCAGTGTCTAGCAAAAATTGTGTTGTGTTGCATAACTACATTCTGACTGCGTAGATACTCTCAGCTAACTTTTTTATCATCTCATTCAACTACTATTTTCCAGCTTTCATTTGCAGCTTTGTTCTAAGTGGTTTGCACTTACTGACTGACAAATGTTTTGTCCTGCTGTGTAAACTTCATGCCTGCTTCATGGCTCTGTATTGACTTTTGAGTCTTCATTTAGTTCCCTTCGATACATGAGCTGTTCGGCCTGATGTAACCACAGGCCATTTGATAATTGGTTCTGAGGCAGGCAGTTTCTTTCATTATGTCTTCAAGCCTCCTATTAAAGCTTCGCTCGGCCCTTTAGTCCCACCATCGAGAGCAGGGGAGCTATCAACGTGTCTTTGCGAGAATCGGTGGGGTGGTAAGGAGGGAGACAAAACCTCCTGGAATAGAATTTGCTGACTTGGGAGTGCACCTACAGCAGGAAATGTCTCTCCACTCCACAGCCCATTAAAGAGGCTACAGAGAGTGTTTCTGTGCAAGAGTGCAGCAACTCTCTAAGGGTTTTCCGCACATTTTTCTCTTCCCTCATCAGTGTCTGATTTATTTATCTTGTACTATGTTGTACCTGAGTTCAGCAGAGGGTAGTGCTTCTGCCTTGTCTCAGTTATTTTTCTCACAAGAAGGATTAGAAGACTGGACAGAGTATGTAATGACAGTTTAAAGCGAGACTGTGTGTTGACAAGGGCCCCTTGAAAACACCTCACTTCAGGCTCTGAAACAACAGTAAAAATCTATATTCCTTGATTTCCAAGGCCCCTGTCTGAACTCCCTAAATCAATCAGACGTTTCCCTCCATTCAGCGCCTCTGCATGCTGTTAACTCACTCACTAATCTTGCATCTTATCTTTGCTTTTTTCTCTCAGGTATCTTGATGAGTGAATCCCCAAATGAAGAGGTTCCTGGTGATGAAGATATAAAAATAGATGCCCTTTCAGTAAATCAGCAAGTCATTGCAACACAACCAAAGCATTCAAGGGATTCAATACAAAAAAACGTTCATTGAAGCACCGCAACGCGATCCTTTGTTGGATGACACTTAAAATATTGACAAATGAACGGAGGGCCATGCCAATGAGCTGAAATTGAAATAGTGAGCTCAACTTTTGTATTGTTAGCTTCTCAGGAGAGCATGTGCGTCTATGTGGAGACAGTGAACAGCAGCCATTTGAATCTAATTAAACCTCACTGACATGCCTCAGCTTGCTGCTCCGCTCACCAGAGGGCTTATTAATTTGCACTACTGATTTGCCTCGTGTGCGTTATTTCTGCAGGAACAATTTCTTTGCCCCGTGGCTCGTGGGAAACACTGTGGTTGAGTTCAATTGGTTGACATCTGCCAGATTTCACTATGTGATCTCCATCTGGAGCACACTCAAAAACAAAGATGACCATGCAGAGCCATGCCATCCCTAACAGCTTCTGACTGCAAAATAAAACTCACACAGTAAACAATTTCAACCTCCAAAACATTCCCTCACTTCAAAGATGAGCGACACAAACTACTGGGTCGTGGACTATGATCTCTCCTCTCCCGCTCCGCCCGGGTTCCCCAGGGGCCCGACGGTGCTGCAGCCCGTGGCAGGGCACCCCGAGCAGGGATCGGCCCTGTGTTTCGTTGGCCTCCTCGTGCTGCTGCTGCTCTTTCTCCTCGTTCGCTGCGTCCGTATCTTGTTAGATCCCTACAGCAGCATGCCAGCAGCATCATGGACGGACCATAAAGAGGGGTTGGACAGAGGGCAGTTTGATTATGCACTGGTGTAAAGATGAGGAGTGAGTGGGAGATGAGGAGGGGGATATGTAATGGTTGTTTCGAGGGACTTTTGGTTGATAAGGTTTGTTGAGCTTCTGTTTCCAAATATTCAGGTCCTGAAAATGAGAGAAACTGCAGTTTGTTACAGTGTCTGTGGTTGGGGTAATGCAAACTGTCAAGATAACAGAATAAAAACAATTAAACAGTATCTGCGTAAGGATTAAATGCTGCAGGGCAGAGAGGAAAAGAGCAGACACACCAGAATCCTGCATCCATTTTAATTTACAGTGATTCATGTATTATTGGAGACATATGCTGTGTATGATATAACACTGCAGCTTTAAGAGTGACAAACAGTGCAGGAAGACAACGATCAGTATCGCAGCATTACGTTTATCATGTCATTGTGTAATTCTATAATGTTTTTAAGAATCCCAGGGCTGAAATATAAATAGAGAGCAGAGCCACTGCGAGAGAGGTCCTTATTGAATAAAAGAGAAATTAAATGAGTTTAGGGCAGACATGGAAGTCATTAAGACATAACTAATATGCAGATTAATTAGTTAATGCTGATTTAGAGACAAGACTGTCAACTTTATATGTTGATTTACTATTAAAATGTGAAAATTAAATTTTATTTTTAAGCTTTTTTGTAATTGAACCAAAATCTTAGAAGATGTCAAAGTTTCTCTGGAACTAGAAAACTTTTTTGTACATTTATTTTTAATGTGAACCATGCTGGATATTGTGAGGCATTTTTACCACCTCTAAGATTATCCTCAGGTAAAATGATTTCTAATTAACCAAAGCTTCTATAATTTGAGGCAATCATTTACATTGCCTCCTAAAATGTAGCTGCTATTCATATTACTTTGTTTTGTTTAAAATTCACTGTGTCCTAAATTAAAGTCTTATCCCAGTAGAAAAGCTAAAGTTTATAATACATAACACTTAATACAACACATTTTATTTGGAGTTGTGCTGTTTCATGTCGCTCTCCCTTTAAGAGGCTTATGGGGCTCAGTGTAGGGGTCACAGCACTGACTGAATATGTGTCATATAAAGTGTTATTATGAAATGCATGTACACCAATTTCCTCTGCCTAATCCTTTTTGCCTTTAGGCCCCGTCCAGTGCACCAGCCAAATCTGTTCAACAGTGCCTGTAGAAATATGAGAAAAGCTAATATGTATTTCATACTAATGATGTAACTGCTCCTTTTGCCATTTGTTTTGTAATATTGTTGCTGCCCTTATTATACTGTAAAGTCCTTAAACTGAAATAAAGTTTAGTATTGATACTTTACTAATTTGTTAAAAGGTTGATTTGTTTGCTTAATGATGACTGAAAGACTATTTTATCTTGACCAACTTCCTGGATGAAGACTCTTGCTTGTAAGAATTAGATATTTTCCTAATGTTTCTTTAAAGTGGCATTCAGTTTTTTTATTAATTAAATAAATGCTTTTGTCTTGTCTTGATTTTAGAAAGTTTCATTACCTTACGTACTTGCAATACACATGCACACACACACAGTTATGTTTCCATCGCTTCAGAGGATATTACATTGACTTACATTCATTTCCTAGAGGCTTATCCTGATCCAAATCCCTACTTGGCTAACCCCAACCCTTCCACTAACCTTAAGTCTTTATGTTTTACTTTATGAGGACATTCTGTCCTCAAAAGGAAGGTGAGTCCACACAATGTGACTGTGTAAACAGATTTATGTCCCCACAACATGAGTAATACATGTCCGCACACACACACACACACACACACACACACACACAAACTTTTACTTGAGCAAAGGCTGTCTTCACTGCTGCACTATAATCAATATTAGCAAGATTTAAAGCAAATTAAATCAATCGAATAATCAATTGGAGGCTCATAAAGAGACAGTCAGTTAATTTAGTTAATTTACGATGAACGGCCCTTGTGGAGTCAGATCCCCACCAGAGAAAAACATACAAAAGATCAACCACTGCCAGTATTATTATATTATTATTATTATTATTATTATTATTATTATAAGAAATTTAGGTAAGCATGACATGGAACTCACATATCAAAGATAGTCTTATTAACTTATTAAATTTTTTTAGAAATTTAGTTTTATTTTTTTTAAATGCATTTCCTGATTGAATTTTCATTTTGTGACTTTGTCACTTTGTTTGGATTTGTGAGCACTCTCACTCAGGAACTTAGCCATCTGGTGAGCTGAGACCTCTACAGGATACTGTGAGAATTACAAGTCCAGTTATCGCAGAAGGATCAATCAGTGTTCAAATGTGCCTCTACACTATGAGAAAACACATAATGGATACAATCCTTTACTCAAAATAACGGTATAAATAATGAATTACATGGAGTCCATTTCCACTGTACATTCATCTGAGAATTGTTCTGATATGAACTTGTATTAGTACAGTGCAGTGCAGTATTTTATTACTTAAAGATGAACATCAGCACACATTAACCCAAACCCATGCTAATGGCATTGCTACAGGGAAGTCAGTTGTTCCAGACTGAAATATTTCAATAACTTTTGGATGGATTGCCATGAAATTTGCATTTACATTCATGGTGCCCCAATGAGGAATCCTCCTAATGACTATTAAGATTCCCTGAATGCTCCTGTAGCATCATCATGAGGTTGACATCTGTGGATTGGAGTAAAATGTCTTTACACCTAGTTGAGAGACGGTCTGGTCTGATCTGGTCTTAATATTCTCTGGTTATTGACCAAATACCTGCAACTTATAAGGGTACATGGACCATATAAACACAATTTTGATGTTAATGTTGTTTTACATAGTCTTACTGACTGGGTATTAGTAAGGAAATTAGTCAGGGCAAGTTATCTGTAGTGATAAACCTTGCACAAACTTTGCACAGCCAGACTTTGGTAACAAGACTACAACAGCCCTCTCAGTTTATCAGGCTCCAACAGATGGTTGGAAGCACAGTGCAACACCCCCACCTCATTAGTTCGGCAATTAACAGAACAGATTTTGCTTCAGTGGGTTCTGAGAATTTACTTCCTTAATAAAACAACAAAGACACTCAGTTCCCATCACCCACTCACACATGTACATGTGCACACAGATATGAAAATAAGGCTGGATCATCAGACAGACAGACTCAGGCTTGACATGGCAGAAATTGTTCTGTGTTACCATATGTCATGATATTACTGTGGTTGAGGGTGTATATAAACACTATCATAATTTAGTTGTATAGCAGTAATCAAAAACAGGAACATACAAATATTTGCTTTTCTGAAAGACAAATGTTTATTGGCTGGTGTTGCAGGCTCGGCTGATTAGATTAACTCTCTTGTATTTCCCATCGGGAAGAAGAAGAAGAAGAAAATATACTTTATTGTTACTCCAGGGGGAAATTGTTTTTTTCACTCTTTTTTTATACACACACACACACACACACACACACACACACACACACACACACACTGAAATGCAC